GACCCGTGTGGGGGGGGGGGGGGGGGAAGACTTACCTGAGCAGTCTTCCAGCAACTTGCTTCTGAGATCGGGCCTGTCTGTCGGCGGCTGTCATCACCTCACGCCTGCTCCTCCTTACTTCTCCCCACGTCCCTGTGCCAATCGTGGATGTGGGCCGGCGGGGAGGAGGTGCGGCGTGTGGTTGCGGGCAGCGGCAAGCGTGCGGTGGGGAGGAGGTACGGCGCGCAGCGTGTGTGGAGCCGTGAACAGGGCCAACTAATCGGAAGTCAATTCATCGATGATTGAAAAAGTTGTCAACTTTTTCAATAATCGATTTTAGTCGATTAGTTGTCGCAGCCCTAAATGACTCCGTCTTCTTTCTCCAGGTTAATCGAGTCCAGCTTGGGGAGCGTGGCAACAAAGTTCAATTTCTTCATCCACAACCTGGCCCAGCGCTTCTCGGGGGTCCCCGTGAACGACGAGGCGATTCTTTCCTTCTCCCCGAAGACGTATTCTATAAAGCAGGACGGACGCATCCGCGAGGCCACCATCTTCACCTACCACAAGAGATACAACCCCGACAAATACTATGTGAGTGTCCACGCTGCCGGCGCATTGTTTGGGGTTATAAATCGGGGTAAGGGTCGGTCCACGCAGACGTGGTCAGGAAGGGTTAAATGTTTTTGGGGGGGGAGAACAGATGCCGCAATCTGCCCCCTGCTGGACACCACAGTACTGTTCATGAGCCGTGCTGAATGTGGTGCCGATCCAGCGCAGCCGCCACCCTCGGGGGGCCACAAATATTACTCCCGCAGCCACGCTTTCAATTACACACAAATGCCCATCAGATTCAACTGTCACTGGAACCGTCAGACCCGCCTCCCGTCATCCGCGTTGTCTGGTATCCCCGGCGTGGCAGCCTCATGTTACTATAGAATATCCCGGTGATGATATTTGGGGGAGTTTTGGCACCAATAGTAAAACTAGTGTTTGTTCAATGTGCCACAAATCCTGCGCCACGAGGTACGGCACCAGGTTATGGTCACAGAGCATGAGATGCTGATCTGGGTCAGGTGATCAGTATCAGACTTCATCAATCTTAGGGGACACAAGAATTCAGATACAGTCGGGTTATACTGGAGGATGATCGGATACTGGTAAACCAAAATTGGTGGCCCAGCCCAGTGTAAGCCCCGCCCCCCAGTCCACGCCCCCCCGTCCACGCCGAT